TGAGTTGTTTACACCAAAATAAGTATTAAATATTTGTTGAAACACTTATTCTCTCAATTTAACAACTTGTAATGGTGAAAGTTAATTAAACGCGACTTTTCTACACCAAAATAAGTCTCAAATATTTGTCCACACATTTATTCTCTCAATTTAACAACACGTTTGTGATTGAATTACCACTTGACGTGTTATTAATGGATTATCATAACAATTACAGCATTGATAACCAGATTTAGTTCCTTCTGATTGATTTATACTTGCGTAGAGGAGAAAAATGTCACGTCAGCTCACACGAATGATCAATATAAATCATTCCCAGAAATCATGTTACTATGACAACCGGATCTAAAACTGTTTCAAGAGCAACCTCTTCTGAAAATGTCCATAACTTAATTAATGAGAAGAAGGTGAAACAAATATATTACTCTATGACATAAAATAATAAAATATTGTAAAAATTAAAAAAAAAATCATTCCTGAAATTTTTCTTTCTTTGGCACTAACTACATCTCTACCAAATGAATATTTTATGTGCCCTTTGTGCACTGAAGGTAATCTCTCCTGAATATTTCATGATAATCCCTCTATTACTTTTTAGTTATAAATGGAAAATCATCCCCAAAATAGAAACTGTTCCTATGGCAACAGTACCCACATATCTACCAAAATGCAACGAGCAGTCCGTTTCTGTACCAAGGAACATCTTTCTTGAAAATTGTATGAGACAGTGCATCCATAACATTTCAAATACAACTGTAACATTCCTTCAAAAAGAACTGAACCAACAGAAGTCTAACATCACTAAACCTTACGGAAAATTAAACATGTTTTCATATGATCTGGTATTATTTTTTGTAAGATGAAAAAAACAAAAATTTAGTTGGCACATCTTTTGAGGTATTTGAATGTATTTCAGTATACATTACGTTATCAGATGCTTTGATCATGCTTGAATATGTTTTGTGATGATCGTGCAATGTGAAACTAAATCTATCCACTTAAATTTAAGCATCTGAATGAAAAAAAAAACACACACTTAAAATCAAGTTGAATAATGGCTGTTTTCCATTGATGGCATGTCTTCTATATTTATATTGCACGTTGTTCACATTAGTAAATATTGATGTTTATTCTACAGTTTGAGGAAACGTATCTTCAGGATGCAGCACACGTGGAAAGATTACGTCAAGGTTTGTGTTCTGTTTATTTCGTTTATTTACGATTCACACATTGCATTAACTGTATATTATAACACTCCGCTACAACCAGTATACGCTCATATGTAAATGGAATTAATTTGAGAACACACAAAATTTACGTTTTATCATTTTTGCCTACTTTGAATAAATTCGGTTAAACATGTACGAAAACTGGTTACATGGAAATAAAAGATACGTAGCTTCCAGTAGGTCATATTGAATCAAATATTTCAACAATATTTGCACATCAATCCGTACAATTACGGAAAATACCATTCACATTTACTCAAAGTTAATTTACTGATTATCACTGTGACGTAAAACAGTCGATTGCTGTGTTCAGCACTTTCTATATATACAGTTAGAACTTGTACTTGATATTTCAAAACACTTTGCTGAAACCTTACGTTACACACATACTACATACACACGTGTGTTAGTTTTACTTTTTGTTTCGTTTCAACAATAATATTATTCTTTAGCCGGTGATCTTCTATTCATGCAAGTGCCAATGTTGGAAATTGATGGCATGAAATTGGTACAAACCAACGCTATCATTCGATATATTGCCAGAAAATACGCCATGTATGGTAAAACACTGGAACAGAAAACAAGGTGAGATATTGTATTGTTTGACTGTAGTACGTCGTATATTTGATAACGCTGTCAAACCATGACTGTCACATAAACACCTGACGTTGTTGTTAGTTGCTAGGGTCATAATGTCCAATCGTTTTCCATGCTCTATGAATAGAATGAAAGAACTATACATACAACGTCTTGATATAATTTGAATTACAATAAAACATCATAAAGTTAGTTGTCCCGTGCCTTCAGCTACTAAGCTGACAGACTAAACATTTTATTTTGTCAAGTTATCAATGTGCGATGGAGTCTTTCCTATGTATCTACAAATGTTGTCATATCGTTATGCCATTGTATATTTACTTAGATTTTGATAGGAAGATCGTTGCGATATTTTGAAAGAGAATGTGGTTTTTTGTGTGTGTATGTGTTTGTTTGTTAAGATTCAGGTTCATATTCCTAATGTTCATTTTCATAATTAATTGACGTTCATCTCCAAATTCGTATTCATTGACCGCTCATGTTTGACAGTAGGATATTTTTAAGTGTTATTTTCATAGACTGCAATCAATACAATACTAATTTCTATTTAGGATTGATGTGCTATACGACGGCGCACGTGATTTTATAATGAAGTTTGTGTATATTGGATGGAACAAAGGTAAGGAGGACGATAGCAAGAGTGTAAAAGAAAATGCCGTACCCAGATATCTTCCTGTGTTTGAAAAGGTTAGTGGGTATCGTTGTGGGTAGTATCAATAGCATGATGTTTTTATTCGGCATTCAAGAATTTGTGTTCAGTATTTCGGTTGGACAGTCTACATCACGTGACAGCACAGGAACTATATTCATTGAATGTATGTAACTTATATGCGAACACTATAATAGATAGCCGTGTTATTAATCATAAATATCAAATCACCATCATAATATTATGTGCTTACACATACTGATGTGATTTATATTCGCATTTTTCAACAGGAATTGTCTAAGACCTCATCTGGTTATTTTGTTGGGGATGATCTTTCTATGGCCGATTTGGCTGTTCTGGAATCTTTGCTTTATTGCGATGATTATTTCCCTGCTGTTCTTGAAGATTATCCAAAACTGAAGGTGGGTTTTATTACTAACCACTACAAGTTCAGTATAGATATGATATTCATAGTAAGTTCCCGAGCTATTGAGCATCGTAATGACATGTGTAAGTATACTACGTGTAGTGAAACATGTGTATGTGATTGTTTTGTTTGAAATGTCAAATTATCGAAATAACTGTACATAATAGTTCCTGCATATTACAATTGCCAGGAATTCAAAGACAGACTATCGTCATTACCACGGATCAAGGCATTCCTGAATGGCCCACAAAGAAAAGGGAAGACCACAGAAGAATATATTCTGCACTGCAGAAAAGTATGGGGCTGGATTTAAGAATATGAAAATTAGTTCGCAAATTAGTTCGTTCATTGTACATGTAGTTCATTGCGATACATTGAATAAATCATCTATCTGTCAGCAGTAATCAAAGGTGTAACATATGTAATATATGATACTGTAACATTTTACACCGTAAAACAGTGTGATACTGGTTTTAAGTTGTTTAACACCAAATGATTATTATTTTATGATGGAAATTTGAAAATACCTATATGACATGCGTTGCAATATTTTTAGCAGTTTTATTAGATTAATATGCCATCCATTATACATATTTTCCAACTGGTTATTGTTATTTACATATAATGGCACATGGATTCATTACATTCGTTATTTTGCAATTGGATGTAGATCGGATTCAGTATTGTTCATAGTGACATCTAGTATGAAAGCGAAACTTTGGTTTCCATTCTGACGAATCTGTCTGTCACAGAAACTAATACATTAAAGTAAAATGTTGAAAAAACTTTTGCGGTACACCATTATCAAAATGACTGAGATACAATGTCATCACTTGTCATGCGTTTATCAGATACGTAAACACCATAAAACGCCTTACAAAGCTAGAAACAGGATATGTCATTAAGTATACATTCCACAGTAGACTGGCGCAGTCGGGGTGATTAATTTGTTTTTGTAGTTTAAATAAAATAAGAAAATTCGTGAAATGGAGGTGTTAGCGGGAAATCACCCCGACTGGTTTATTCTGCAGGTAATTCATTGCTATTAAATATTCATGATGCACATATTATAATGAGGTGGGCGCGGAAATACGTGCATAACGAGGTCAACATGTTAAAGGTCACACTGCAGACCCAATGGCGGCACGTTGACATTCAAGTTTGTCGTAGTCGTCGTTTTTAATTCATCACAATGTGTAAAAAAGTAACTCGTACTAGTCATAGAATTAAAAAACATCGGCTGCTACAATCAGCCGACGTCCTCTCGGTCAGAGGTCAGTTGAAGACACGTTATGATTGGCTTAGATGATTGTCAATTAGAACACTCATTAACATAATTACCCGTTGGAAAATCGACGGGTTCCTGCAGTGTCGATAGAGGGCCATGCAGAATAAACCAGTCAGGGTGATTTCGCAGTTACAGGAAATTTCGCGCTAACACCTCCATTTCGCAAAATGTTTATTTTATTGAAACTACAAAAACAAATTAATCGCCCGACTGCGCCAGTCTAATTCCACAGCTTATTTCTAGCTTTCTATTACGAGTATGGCGATTTTTGACAAAAAGAAAATGTTACTCACCAACTGCTGCTTTCAAGGCACACTGCACCTAATATTTTCTTGCCGGTGATAAACACCTTTTCGACCTTACAATGTAAGAATAATGACATTGTATAATGCTATAGTATCGTCTCATTCCAAATGATGTAAGAAAACCGCCAGGCTTTGAAAGGAATATTTACACATGCCTGTTGCATTTGGGATTGATCTGCAGCTCCTCAGGACTGGAATATCATAAAATTTGAAAATTTTCAATTTGTACATTATCAATTCTGATTTGCGGAAAAGCTGATATAGGATTGAACCATTGAATCGGAGGAGTCAGGTCTGTAGTAGTTTGGATGATTAAATATTTTTGACTCATTTCAAATTCATAATTCATATTATAATGTATGCATTATAGTAATAGAAATTTATTCAGATAATTTAGAAATTCCAGGTAATGATTTCACAAGTGAGTAGTAGGAGTGAATAAGGTTGTCTGTGTGTTCTACATCATGATGGTCATGGTGGATTTGATGACCAGGCAGTCTGCATGCCCTACTCTTTGCTGATATTCACGACAAGGTAAGTTGTGTTTCGTACAACATGATAAGAACCATGATCTTGATGACCATACATTATGTATGTCCTACCCCTTGCTGATCTTAATGGCAAGGTAGTCTGGGTGTCTTACTCCATAATAATAACTTTGGTGATCTAGCTGTTTTTCATAATACCCCGAATATCAAGAACAAACTAGTACGTCATTTTCCAACTATCTGAACATGTTAGAAGAACATGTGCTTATTGGAAATGTTTTATCAACATGGAATCCAGATATACAACATAAGAAATATGATCCAC